GTGGGCCGCTTGCCCTGTCATCGGCATTTGCCCCCCATCCCACACTCTCATCCATGGTACCCTCGCCGCTCATATCTCCACCCCCCTTTGCCAACCCACCCTCCTCCAACCAGGGTGGAGCTGGTGATCTCCAGCGCGGCCTCCAAGATGGTGGCGGCCACGGTGACCTACCCTCACGAGGTGGTGCGCTCCCGCATGCACGTCTCCGGCGTGGGGGCGTTCTCCGGCCTGTGGGCCACCTGCCGGCAGGTGTACGCGGAGGACCGCCTGGCGGCCTTCTACCGCGGCTGCATGACCAACCTGCTGCGCACCACGCCCGCTGCGGCGGTGACCTTCACCTCCTTCGAGCTCATCTCGGGGGCCATGCAGCGCTGGGCAGAGGAGGGCGGGGGCCGGGCGGGGCGGGCGCTCGACGCGCCGCCGCCGCCGCGCCCGCCGCACGAGGCGAGTGGGGGTGGGGCGGGGGCGCCGATCCAGCCCCTGGGCCCGGGGCTGGAGCTCCGGGAGCTCAGTGCGCACACCGGCAGGCTGGAGGACGAGGGGTGAGGGGGCCCGAGGGGACGCCGCACCACTCTTCATCCCCCTTGTTATGTATGAGGCGGGCAGCTGCTTGCCGACTGTACAGCTGCCATTGCTGCTCCTGGGGCGTCCTGGCCACTTTCCCTGGCCCTGTTTAGGGTTAACGAGGTCGATCTTCGACCCCTTGGTGCCCCTTTTGTACACGCACACAGCGCCGCGGCACGAGCACGGGCGTGTCAGGGTGTGAGTCACCAGCCGGAGATCCCGCTGTCCAAACTAGGAACGGGTTTGAAAACGCTGACGCGGTCGATCTCTGGGAAGAAACGAGGAACATTGGTCGAACTTCTCCGAAGCCAGGAAGGCAACGTCACCATAACTCCCACCACACAGCTGTGCAAGGCACAGAAAGATTCATTTCCGGGTACGGAAGCAAGGTTGAAGCACCCTCGGACACACGGAACAAGGTGGGTGGACTCTCCGGTGCCGTTGATCTCTTTGGCTGATAACAGTTTGGACCTCGGGACGCGGGCGAGTTCGGCATGAGCGACTCATTATAGGTCCTTTACGTCTTTGCAGGAAGTTACAGTCGCGGAAGGTAGAGCGACGATGCAGATTTTCGTCAAGACCCTCACGGGCAAGACTATCACCCTCGAGGTCGAGTCGAATGACACCATAGGTAGGGTCGAGAGTCACCTCTGCGGTAGCCGCGGGTTCGTGTTTTTTATGCAAGCATTTTGCCGGCCTTGTGTGTGTCACAGTTTTGGAGTCGGACTGTCAATCTCCAGTCTTTGCGGCATTGGACTGGCCACCATCCTGGCACTCGCCATCTTGCAGACAACGTGAAGGCCAAGATCCAGGACAAGGAGGGCATCCCCCCGGACCAACAGCGCCTGATCTTTGCCGGCAAGCAGCTCGAGGACGGCCGCACCCTGTCCGACTACAACATCCAGAAGGAGTCCACCCTGCACCTGGTGCTGCGCCTGCGCGGCGGCATGCAGATCTTCGTCAAGACGCTGACGGGCAAGACCATTACGCTCGAAGTGGAGTCCTCCGACACCATTGACAATGTGAAGGCCAAGATCCAGGACAAGGAGGGCATCCCTCCCGACCAGCAGCGCCTGATCTTTGCCGGCAAGCAGCTCGAGGACGGCCGCACCCTGTCCGACTACAACATCCAGAAGGAGTCCACCCTGCACCTGGTGCTGCGCCTGCGCGGCGGCATGTAGGCATACCTCCTGTATGTGACAAACCCTCGGTGCTCACGCTGAGAAACATGTGCCACTGCCCTGATCTGTTGTATGTACAAGCCTCTCGGTGCATTCAGTATACAGCGCCAGGTTGCCTCTTACACACAGATGGTGACAGAGAAAGGTTACAATCGCAAGGGAAGACAGCACACAGTGGATGCCTGATAGGACATGAAATATCGAAGATGTACTCAGCAGAGCCTCTCAGTTCATGACTTCATCCAGGAGCTCTTCCTGTGGATGAAAGCATTTAAGACAGATGGGTGGCTTGCGCTCAAAGGCCAAGGTCAACATGTGTCCTATAAACAAGCCCAAAGACTCGCCAACCACTGCACCTCGGGGATGATGCGAACTTTGACATTGCCATGCGGTTGTGAGACACATAGAAGGGCATATCCCTTGGAACGGACGTCTTCACTGAGCATTCCTGCCTCTTGATCGACGTCTCCCTCCTCCTGGGATAGGATGTGGGGCGAACACTGTCTAGATACCATCCTGCCTGGAGCACACCTGTGAATGGTCCACAATCGTCTTGCTTCCATAGTCAGATCTTCTTAAACCCACATCAGACATTCACGCACCAGCTTTGCGGCGCAATTCATGCAGACGCCCATTTTACAGTCGTGAGGGATGTCCAGTCCCTCATCCAGGGCCACCTCCAGAATCGAGGAGCCCTCCGGAACGTCCAACATCACCGTGCTGTCATCCGGCAGACGAAGCTGCACTGTGTTGGAGGCATACGATCTCACATCCCGGTGCATCGGCCGTCTTGCATGCAGCTCCCAGAAGTGCTGCAACATGCGTGCACTGGGGCCTGATGGCTTCTCACATGCCCCAAGCCCCGACACCCTGGGTGCATAGCGGATCTGCAACGCTGACAGCGACATGGTGTAGCATAGGCTACCGGTAATGACAATATAGAACGTGGGGAGCAGGATCGACAGAGTAAGGCAGCCTTTTCCTGCGCCATTGCGTGGTCCTCGATGGCTCGAGCCGGCAAGCGGCCTTATCGCCAGGCCGATTGTCGCGCGTGCGCCCTCTGGAAGAACCGCTGCCCAAAGCTGAATTCTTACAACAACGGCAGAGGAGCAGAATCGATAGAAGCTAATCAAATCTGGTCTATCCATGCAGTATCTCAGCATGAATCCTGTCACACCATTGTCTATCAGTCAGGGATGTCAGAACTCCTGCACATGTTTGGGAGTGGAGCGCACACTTTGTTCTTCAGTGTATCGTCACCAAACTGGTCAAAGTGGAAGTGCCATGGAACCTCCAAACCCACAAGCTTTGATCGTTCCTGCATAATTCCACAGTCGGCATACCAACCAAGTCACAAAGGGTACTTGCCTGTGAGATGGACGCATTGGTGCCCTTCTTGGCGGTCTTCTGTGGCAGCAGCACCGACTGGATGTTGGGGAGCACGCCGCCCTCGGCGATGGTCACGCCAGCAAGCAGCTTGGACAGCTCCTCGTCGTTGCGGACCGCCAGCTGGATGTGGCGGGGCACGATGCGGGTCTTCTTGTTGTCGCGAGCGGCGTTGCCAGCCAGCTCGAGCACCTCGGCCGCCAGGTACTCCAGGACAGCTGCCAGGTACACGGGGGCACCGGCACCGATGCGCTCTGCGTGCGTGTGGTCAGGCGGATCGGTGACAAAGCCGTTGTTAAGGGCGACAGACCGATCTCAGGTCGCGCTGGAAATGCGCACATCCGGCCATATCGGGAGCCCTCCAGAATCACAGCTACCTGCATAACGACCGTTCTTCAGGTAGCGAGCAATGCGCCCGACGGGGAACTGCAGACCAGCCTTGGAGGATTTGCTCACGGCCTTGCTGCCGGAGGTCTTTCCCTTGCCGCGTCCAGACATGATGCAGAATGTGTTATTCTCGAGAGCGTATAAAGCAGGTATTCCAATCGCAATTGTGGCTGCGGTGGGCAGGCGTCTCCTTTCAAACAGGTGCGATCACGGTCTGGTGGTGCGTGCTGTGCCTGCCAGGGTTGCCATGTCGGGCAGGGATTGCTCTGCACTCTAGCGTTTGTCGAACAATGCATCCTGGACAGTAGCGATTCTTAGGCAGTTGATAGAAACATATGTTTCACAGATTGAGGTCATTCTCTCCAGACCTGCAACCCGCATTCAAGGGAAGGAGGACTCTTACGATACGGGCCTGGTTTGCTTCCATTTTGGGCAGTTATCGGCTGCCAAGCGCCGTCCTGTTTACTGATTCATTACCGGGAAGGCTTATCCTGCCAATAGCGCGGCGTGGGACCCCTGTGAGCCAAGTCTCCTCCTGGTCAGGCTGGGATGGGGCCCCGTCGCACCACCCTCACCTATAGCTCAGAGGATGCGGCACCCCTGGGCGACGCCCAGGTGTTCGTTTATTACTGCAAGTACAGCGGCAAGCACGTGCTGACGACAGACTGCGACCTGTCCAAGGCGCCCCGTCGCCAGACAGACCATGCCCTGGTGATCGACACCACACGGCACACAGTCCGCCTGTACAATACAACAGACGCCGGGGAGAAGCTCCTACGACGGAGGTGCGCCAGTGGGAAGGGGTGTGGGGTGGCATCCCGAGGACTTGCCCACTGTTTGGGTGGCCCTGCCCGAACAAGGTGCGTCCGTGTTTGCGATCCTCATCTCCCAGTTCCCCCCAACCCCCCGCAGGAGTGGTGCCGTGGAGCGTCAGCTCCGCATGCGCGTGGGCAAGCTGCCCTTTGCGTACTGGACGGAGCCGGAGGGCAAGCTCCTGTACATCATGGACTCGGCGGTCACGACCTACAGCACGGCGGACGACCCCTCCGGGTCCGGGGTCATCGTGCCGGTGCCCCCCTGCATCCGCGCGCTGGACGCGGCGGGGGGCGCCACGGCCGTGACTCTGGAGGTGGACGACCGCGCCAGGGGCACGGGCATCCTGAAGGTGTCGGCGGATGCGGTGCGGCTGCAGCTGAAGACCTCTATCATCGCGGAGGGGGCGGCGGAGGAGCTCCTGGAGTACCTCAGGAGCATCCTCGGTGGGTGCATGGTGGGGAGGGTGGAGGGGGGTGATACGTCGCAGCCCCACCGGGGCCGGGCCCATGGAGGGCTGGCGCTCGGCGCCCGGCGCCCGCCCGCTGCCTGAGCACAGGTGCCTGGGTGCGCACGCCCCGCCCTGCGCACCCCCCTCGCCGGCAGCCTGCTTGTGAGCGCGCCGTGTGAGTGCGCGGGCAGGATTGTCATGCAGCACCCTCCTGCCCCGGCTCGCAGGCACCCGGCTGTCCCAACTGTCCTTGGAAAGGGGTGAAGCCACGAGGAAGCCAACGCTCCGCGTTACGGGGCTCGGCCCCGCCGCCGTCTACGCCAAGCTGGCGGCGGCGCTGCAGGCGCAGGCTGCCGCCCTGGACGCCGTGCCGGCGTGAGCCTGTCTCTGGCAGTGACTGTCATGCTCGAATTCCCCGGAACGGTGCTCTTTTGTGGTCTGAATCGTGACAAGCTGAGGGTGGTGGGGATCGTGTGAGGGCTGTGATGCACGCCTGTCTCAAGCCCCGGAGCGTGATGGGACATGCTCAAATGCTGGCAGGCTCCCAAGGGGGTTCAGCAAGGGGTGCTGAGGCTCGACCTGCAGAGTCAGGCGCCAGGCACCCAGATGCACGGCAGCGGTGCATCCCTGCCAGGGAGGTGCACGCTGTTGAGGAGAAGGATGCCCGGCTTCTGCCAGCTCCCCTCCATGCGTGCATTTGGTGTGCCTTTAAAACTCGACGTCGTCGTCCTCGTCGCCCGGGGGCAGGCGGGTCAGGCGCCGGACATAGGCCTCGGTGAGCTGGCGCCGCGCGGCGGTGCCTGCGCCGTCCTCCAGGAAGGCCTGCGTCAGCAACTCGTCGCCGCTCGCCAGGCCCAGCACCCGCGCCAGCGTCCTCTCTGCGCTCAGCTTGGTTGTGCCGCTGGTTTCCTGGGGTAGTTGAGGGAATGAAGGGGCGGGGTGGAAGGGGATTACGAGGAGATCGCGGTCGATGGGCGGGGCCCGGAGGGAGGCCAGGCTGCGGCACCAGGGTTTTGCCGCAAGCGCTGCAAAGGGGCTGCCTCGTCCAGTCCCCATTCCCCCCTTTCCGGACCTGCACCACAGCCAGCAGGGAGGGCACCAGGTCCGGGAAGTAAGGGGCCAGGGCTGCGGGGGCCGCCGGGGTCGAGGAGGCCAGCCGCCGCAGCACGCCCAGCATGGTGCGCTGCACGTCACTGTCCTGGTCGGAGCCCAGCAGGCTGACGAAGAGCGGGACCAGCTTGGGCAGGCTGGGGGCGCTTCCAGCCGCTGCGTGGGGATGAAGTAAAGGGTGAAGGGGGGAGGTTTTGGGGTGCTGGTGAGCTTCGGCGAGCTCGGAGGACAAGGAACACACGCAAACACACACACAGATCACGCCCTCTGCCCGCCTTGGGTCCCTGCTCTCCCACCCCTCCCACCCCTCCAACTACCCCTCCCCCCGGTACCCCACCTTGGAGCTGCGCAGCAGCCAGCCTCCCGGCCGCCGCCCCGGCGGCCTGCTTGATGAGCGGGTACGGGTCGCGGCCGAAGCGGGACGCGATGGCGGCGCAGAGCTCCGCCGCCAGCGGCGCGTCCTCCGTCAGCAGGCGCGACGCGTGCTGAGTCAGCGCGGCCGCGGTCAGCGCCGCGCCCAGGCGGTCGCCCTGCCGGCCGCTGGCGGCCGCGCCGGCCCCCGCCGCACCCAGGCACCCCGCGGCGGCCAACAGCGCGCGGGCCTCGCCGGGTGGCACGTGCGGGCACAGCGCGCCCAGCGCGCGCGCCGCCGCGGCGCGGGCCTCCTCGTCCTCGCCCGCGCGCGCCAGCGCGTCCTGCACCGCGCCGCCAACCCGGGAGAGCGCGTCGGGGGAGGCGCGGTCGCCGCTGGCAGCCAGCGCGCCGGCCAGCGCCACCAGGTACGCCTCGGCAGCGCCGGGCGCCGCCGCGCGCGCCGAGGCCGCCAGGTCCGCAAGCAGTGCGTCCAGCCGGGGGCTGAGTCGCGTGAGGGCCCCCAGGTCGGCGGCCGCCAGGGACCGCACCTGTGCGCGGATGTGGGTGGCGGAGATGAGATTTTGTTCGGAGGAGGATGCAGAGGGCGTGGCACTGTGAGAGGGCCCTCGCACGATGCGACCCCACATCACGGGATGATTTGTGCGGTTTTGCGTGCCGGATATTCCTCCAACCCCCTCAGAAACCGACATGGCCCCTCCTCCTCACCCTGGGCTCGGGGTCCAGCAGGCACTTGACAAAGGTGGTCTGCAGCTGGGGCACAAAGGGCTTGAGCCCGGCGCCCGCCTTGGCGATGAGGATGCCCAGCGTGCGCAGGATGGCGGCCTTGACCTGCCAGGGGAAGCGGTCGCCGATGATGCGGATGAGGGGCCCCGTGCTCTGCACCACGTAGGGCCGCAGCGCCTCCTCCCCCGTGATCTCCACCAGCTGGCCCAGGCCCTCCGCAGCCACCTCCCGCAGCTCGGCCGAGCCCTTATAGGATGGGTGAATGGAAAGCGTGGATGGTTGGGTCTTCAAACTGTGGCCCGTACGCGAATCATGGTATTTGGCGGCCTTTTTGGTGGGGCGCAAGGGTGGCGAGCAAAGGGGTTTGGCCTGAGTGTTCCTCTCTTCCCTTTTTCCCCTCGATTCCCGCTTCCTTTTGTCTCTCGGTCACCCTCCTCCCCGCTCCTCCCCCCCACCTGCAGCATGCCCTGGAGGTAGATGGGCAGAACCGGCCCCAGTGCCTTGGGCAGGCAGAAGCCCTTGACCAGCAGGGGCCCGCCGGTGCGCTTGCGCCGCTCCTTGTCCCTCGTGGCCAGCACCGCGTCCTGAGTGGGTGGGAAGAAGGGAGGGGGCATGGATCAGGGATTCGGAGCATGGACAGGTTTCTGTGCAAGCACCTGCCGTGTCAGGCATGGAGGGGTCCAGCGCTGGACAGGCGATGGTGTGGGGTACAGCCCTGGTCCCACACCACCTGCAGGTGACAATCGCGGGTGTCCACCTGTTGCTCCCCAGCGCACGCAGACTCCCCATGTCCCCTTCCCCCCTTCCCTCCTGAACGCAAGTATCGCACCTTGAGGCAGCGCACATAGTTGGGCTGCATCTCCTTGGGAATGGACCCCGTGACGGCGGCCAGGGCCTCCCAGCAGGCCACAACCTCCTCATCAGACTCCTCGGCCAGGGCTGGCACCAGGGACTGCGTGTTGCCAGGGTCCATGCGGGGGGAGAAGGCGTGGGTATCAGGCCGCCTGATGGGAGAAGCGTGCGCATGTATGCTTGGGGCCTGGCCGCACCCCTGCACACCCCCGGCGCGGAGGGTACCTCCCCCCACACATGGGCCCTGCCCCGCCCCTTCCGCATGGCCCCACGTCTCTCCCTGCAGACCCAACACCGCAACAAGATCCTCCACGCCATTTCATTCTGCAGCTCCGTTCTCAGGCCAGCCAAGCCCCCCTCCGTACACACGACGCCAGCACAGACTCACGGCGATGAGGGCGGGGATGTGCTCTTGGAAGTCGAGGCGCGAGCCGCGGCAGAGCTGGCCGATGCCGACGGCGGCGCCCACGCGGCGCGCGTCGTCGTCCAGCCCCTTGAGCAGCTCGGCGATGAGGAGGTACAGCCCGTCCTCCTGCACGGCCAGAACCACGGCGCGTTGTGCATCGTGCGCTGCGGCGGTGGCCGGCGACACGTCCGGGTGCCCCGAGGTCAGCGCCAGCAGCGCCGGCAGCAGCGAGCCCAGGTGCGCGTGCAGCGCGGCGCCGGCGACCTCGCACAGCGTGCCCAGCGCGCGCAGCTTCGTCGCGACGGGCGGTGGGCGGGTCAGGCGTGGCAGCATGGAGCCCAGCAGGCTCGGCCGCACGCCCAGGATGACGCGCAGGCCCTCCAGCGCCTGCGCCTGGCGCTCCGCCTCGGGCGCGTCCAACGAGGCCAGCAGGGCCGGGACCACGGAGTCCAGCGACGCGGCGCCGCCAGACTTGAACAGCACGTTGAACACGCCGCCAGCGGCCTGGTGAAAGGCGAGGGGTGCTTGGGGCGGTGGGATGGGGGGATGATGTGGTCAGGCAGCGGCCACATGCGTTGGTGGGGGAGGGGCCAGCTCAGACTGGGGTGATGCCCTGGCTTGGGCATGCCGGGGTGGTTGGCTGGACCAGCGAAGCCTGGGCAATGAAGACACAGCACAGAGGGGCCCAGCCTGGCAGGACCCAGCGCAGGGTGCTGGGGCCTGGATTCCCAGCAGAGCCATCCCATCTCAGCTCACCAGCCTGACTTCGGGGTCGGGGTCGCAGAGGGCCGCCTGGATGGCCGGCAGGAGCGAGGGCAGGTGCTGCGCCAGCTGGTCGCGCGCCGCGTTTTCCAGCACGTCCCGCAGGCCGCTGCACACGCCCTGTTGGGATGGATGGCAAGGGGAAATGCATGCTGGGGCAGTGGAGCCGGGGAGGGGAGCCTGTGCACCAGTGCTTCGGGCCCACTGGTCGATGCGAGGCATCATCAGGTTCCCGGCGGGGAGGACTTGCCGCGCGGCGAGCCCCGCACTGCGCCGCGCCCCTCCTGCACGGTCCGCCTACCCCAGCCGTCCAGTCCGCCACACCAACAGTCACGCGCACCTGGCGGGTCTGGGGCGAGGGGTCGTTCATGCCCTCGCGCAGGATGGGTACGATCTGGGAGAGCACCCGCTCGCCCATCTTCCGCACCAGCTCCCCCAGGCAGCGCCCCGCCGCGGCGCGCGGGTCCTCGGCCGGGTCGGCCAGGCTGCGGATGACCTGGGCCATGAGCGCCGGCAGGATCTCGCCCAGGGTCTTGGGGGTGTTGGTCACCACCGTCTTCCAGACGTGCAACGCCGCGCCACGCACGCCAAAGGCCTCGTCGGAGCGCGCCATGTACAGCAGGCTCAGCACCTGGCACCTCCTGCAGGGGGTGGAGGAGTGGAGGAGGGGCGGGAAGGGTCACGGACGGGATCCTGTGGTTGGTCTTCCAGGACGGAAGCCGAGCTCTAGTCCAGCACGTGTGCAGAAACGACGAGAGGCATTGGAGGCGCGATGGCATTATAATTTCTGTTGGGGGGGTGGATTCAGTGGTTGATTCGGGTACCCCCCCCCCCCCGCACCGCTCAAACTACTACTGGCATGCCGGAACCGAGCCGCCGCCAGCTTTCTTCCTCACACACGCCAAACTACCCACCCACCTCTCGTTGCCCAGGGCCTCGGCGATGGCACGGCCGTGGGCCTCGACGGAGATGCCCTCGTCCTCCTCGTTCTGGAGGTCCTGCTGGATGCGGCCCGAGGTGCCAGCGACCTGTGAGTGAGAGGGGCGAGTGGGAGACGTCAGGGTCTCAGTGTGAGGTGTCAGCGGCCATCCTACATCGCGGTGCTTGGAAAGTGCGTCCACCGTTCCTGTGCCGCATCCCGCACATCCCGCCACAGTGTACCCCACAAGGCTCCGACCTCTCCACTCAGCCACAGAAACCAAGTGCCCCCCGCCACCCCCCTCGCCCGCGCCTCCCACCTTGAAGAGCAGGTCGCCCAGGAGCTCAATGCTGGACTGGCGGATGCGCCAGTTGGCGTTCATGATTCCCGCCTCCACGGCGGGCAGGAGGAGCTCCAGGGCGGAGGTGGCGTAGAGGTCCACCGCCACGCGCGCAGCAGACAGCGCGGCATCGCGCACGCCTTCCGCCTCGTCGGCCAGTCCCAGCAGGACCACCGGCAGCACGCGCGCGAGGTGAACGCGGAAGGCGGCGGGCATGCAGCCGGGCAGGTACTTGAACAGCGTGACGTGGCCCTCCCGCACGGCGGCGGAGCGCGCCCTCGCGCCTTCCAGGATCCTCGGCAGCAGGGCCTCCACCGCCGCGTCGCCCTGCACGGCCAGCACCTCTGCCAGGCCCTGGGCGGCGCCGGAGCGCTCCACGCCGCTGGCCTCCGAGCCGAGGCGGGTCAGGAGCCAGGGGACGAGGTCGGAGAAGGCGGCGGGGCCCATGCCGCGCACGAGGGTGCCCACCGCGCGCGCCGAGGTGGCGCGCACCTCCGGCAGCGGGTCCACCAGCGCCGCCTGGAGCTCCGGCAGCAGACGGGCGACGTAGGGCGCCATGTCGCGCGGGTCGTTGGCCAGCGCCGACAGGTTGCCCACGATGCGCGCCGCGCGTTTCTTGATGTCCCCGGACCGGTCCTTGAGCCCGCGCTGGACCACAGGCATGATCAGCGCCTGGGGTGGTGGGATTTTGTCGTTGGGGGATGGGGAGAGGGAGGTGAGCTCAGGGCGGGACGAAAATCGCAGAGGTGGCTGAGGAGGCGGTGCACCTAGTCAGAAGCCCCAGCATGGGCCAGGCCCGGCCTCGGACCCATGCCTCACGCCCCGCCCCAACACGAGGAGAATAAACCATGACCACTCACCAAGCTGGCGGCGTCCACGGTGTTGACGAAGACGGTGCTGAGCAGCATATCCAGCATCTTGCGCGTGTGCTTGTTGGGGTCGCCCAGCGCCGCAAGCAGCGTGGGCACCAGGCGTTTGACCTCGGGGTTGCGGATGACCGAGGCTACCTCGTCCAGCGAGCGCTGCGCCGCGGAAGCCACACGGGGGTGGGGGTCGCTCAACGCTTGACCCAGGTGGGGCACCACCGCAGGCAGCGCCGTGCCCAGCTGGCGCGGGTTGCAGAAGGCCATGGCGCCCAGCAGCTGGGTTGGTCCCGGGAGGGGTTGGAAAGGAATATTTGAGGGGGTGGGAATGCTTCAACGTGGGTGATGCAAGGGTTGACTGAGGACGCCCAGGGGTGGGCGATGGTTGATCAGCTCACGGCATGGCGCTGTCGTCGCCTCTGATTGCACTGCCTTACCCCCCACCCCCACCCCCCCCCCACCACACGAACCACTCCCCCTTTTCCCCCTCCACCCCCCCACCCACCTGGATGCTGCCCTCCTTGGTGCGCCAGGCCTTGTCCTCCACACCCTGAAGCAGGGCGGGCATGACTAATCGCACGCCCTGCGCCGACAGCTGGCCCATGATGGTCCTGGCTGCCGCGGAGGCTGCCTCGCGCACTGCGGCGGAGGAGTCTCCAAAACAGGACAGGAGGTTGGGCAGGGTGGAGACAACATATGGCTCAAACAGGCGCCCCAGCTTCTCCGACAGGCACTCGTACGCCAGCAGGGCGCCTGGGTTGGTTGGGGGGGCAGGGGTGGTCACGATTCATTATGGGGGGTCGGGGTTGTTCAGGGATTTAGGACCTTTGCTGGTAATGCACATCATACTTCATAGGGAGCATCCTGTACCACGCACTCCCCCCGCTTTCCACAACCCCACCCCACCCCAACGCACCTTCCTTGCCGTCGGCGCCGCCCTTATCCTGGACGGCGGCCTTGAGCGTGTCCAGCACACCAAAGTTCTTTAGGCACCCGATGCCAAGACCCTTGACCACACCCGCCAGCCCAAAGGCGGCGCCGCGCCTGAAACGGTGCGATGATGATGCAGGTTCTGAGCTGGGTACTCGGGGTTTCTCATGATCCTCCAAGAAAGCTGTGGCCACCAAGAATGCCACCATGGCCGCCACAACACTCCATCGAAACCCCCGTCCCCAGGCAGCCTAGACCTTGTGACCTAGACATACGCACCTCTCGCCGTAGCCGCGGGCCTTGAGGCAGCTGCCCAGCAGCTGCTTGGTCACGCTCTCGACATACGTCCGGTCCTGCTGCAGGACCTGCATGAGGGGCGGCAGGCAGTCGGAGACACGGCGCTGCACGGCCTCTGAGGGGGTATTTAGCACCTGCAGCAGGGTGCCCACGATGTCCCGGATCTACAAGTGTGTGGTTGGTTTGAGGAGGGGTTGAAGAACAGGGGGCCTCAGAGCAGGCAATGGGGAGGCACAGAGGGCGTCTTCAGTATCATGGCGTCGCGCATCTCGTCTGTTGCCACACATTTGGGGCATTCATGTGCCCTCCTTAAACCCGACAACCATCGCAATCATGGGGTACCTTGGGATTCTCGGCCGGCAGGTGCCGCGCAAGGGTACCCAGCAGCACCACCACGCCCTGTCGCATGTAGTCAGACTGCTCCTCTGACAGCCCCGGCGACTACGGTGGTGAAAGATGGGTGAACGGGCTGGGGCGGCATGGCAGGTGCATGGCAACTCAGGTGCATGGCTGCCCGGTTGGCTGGAGAGCCGTGCCAGCACACCACCCCACAAGGTGGAACCTCGTCACCAAGGCGAGGCAGAGCGCTTCTCCCTGGTCACATGGAAACGCATGGGCGATGGGATGCCGCATGGCCTTGAGTGCACAGCCCCACACATCTCCCTCCCCATGCCCATCCCCAACCCAGAAGCCTCCGCACCTTGCGCGCCAGCGTCTCCTCAAACAGGGGCAGCATGGTCGCGGCCGCGTGCTTTCCGTGCGCGTTGACCAGGGCAACCCCTGCCAGGACGACGGCGCCCTGCACGGCCGGGACGGGTTCCAGGAGGCCACGAGAAAGCAGGAAGTCTAGGGCCTGGGGCAGCTCGGCCACGGTCAGCTGCGGCGCGATGGCCTCCAGCCCAGACACGGCGCCTGAGGGGTGGGGGGAGATGGGTGTGATGGGGATGACAGGAAGCCGGTGTGGGCTGGCGAGAAGTTTCGAGAGGGGGTGCAAGAGGAGAGGTCCGCTCCCAAAGGCACTGCGCCAATACCAAGTACCAGCCCTACTGCGCCCCCTGGGACGGCATGCCGGCCAACCTCCCACCCACAAAACAACCCAGAGCACAAGATACCCACCTAGGCGTGCGGCCTCAGGGGCCGCGCCGTCCCGGCCATACAGCCCCAAGCATGCCTGCATGGCCTCCGGCGCGGCGGCGGGGCACTCCAGCAACCCTGCGGCCAGAGCGGCGGCCGCGGCTGCGCGCACCTCGCCCTCGCGCGACGGCAGGTAATCGCGGACGATCGCCCTGACGAACCCCGCGGGCAGGCTGGCACCCAGCAGGTCCCAGAGCGCCAGCGCCGCGGCGGCGTTGCGCTCCTCGCCGTCGCTGCGGGCGACCCACAGCGCGCAGAGCGTGGGCTCGTCGCGCGCGCCGCCGTCAGCGATTGCCGGCACGTCGCGCAGCGCACGCAGCGCGGCGCCGCGCGTGGCCGCGCGCGCGGAGCGCAAACCCGCCAGCGCCGCGCTCATCGCGTCCCCGTCGTCCGGAGAGAGGGAGGCGCACAGCGTGCACAGCAGAGGCTGCACCCGCTCGCGCATGACGGGCAGCACCTCCAGCGTGCGGTACAGCAGGGCCAGGGTGTCCGACGGGGACAAGCCTGTGCTGGCCCCCACATGCAGACCCAGCACGTCCAGGGCGATGCCGTGCAGGGGCGTGGCCTCGCCCGCGCTGCGGCAGAGGATGTTTTTTGGGGGGAGGCGGGGATTTTAACATTCGAGACTTTGCCATAGGGATGGAGCTGAGGCCGAGGGGCATCATCCCCTGGACATCAGGAGAACGCTTCATTTGCAACCCGATTCGCATTTCAAACCAACCCCTCCCCCACCAGTCACCTGAGCACGGCTCGCAGGATGGGGAAGCAGAAGCGGGCAGAGGGGCCCGGCAGCGGCGTGTCCCCAGGGCGGGCTTCGGCGTCCTCGGAGGCCGGCTCGCCGCCCGTGGCGCGCTGCAGCGCTGCCAGCGCAGCGCCAAAGCAGGGCTGGCTCAGCAGGGGCTGGTAGTCTGGGGTTGCAGACTGCAAGAGGGGCGGTGGGGTGGGATAGCGCACTGAAAGCCTGACCATGTGGGCGACAGCAGCAGGAAGTGACTGCATGTGCTCTGCTGCGTCAATGCATCCTGGACATGAACTGGGAGATGTACAGGATGCACGTCCGTCTTGCGCTACGTCCGCCGCCATCGTCGTGCTGGGGGCATGCACGCATGCGCCCTAGGCCCTCCATGCTCCCCATGCCACCCCAACCAGAGCACCCACCAGCTCAGCGTAAGCCACCAGGCGCCGGCAGGCAGCCACGTCGCCTCCCATGCGCCCAAGCCCGGCGGGCAGTGCGTGCGCCATGGAAGAAAGCGCGTCCATAGCTGCGCCGTCCCCGACCAGCGGGGAGGTGAGCAGCCGGAGGACGGGTCGGGACAGCTCCGTCAGCAGGGCCGCCGTGGCGGTGTGCGACGCCGCGGCGCCCGCGCCGAGGGCCGCCAGCGCCCTGGACAGCCGCCGAGCGATGGCGCGCACGCAGGCGCGGACCTGAGGGAGGATTGAGGGGATGGAGAGATTCTGGGCACCAACGCACGGCTCTGCAGTTGGCATGCGGAGGTTGCTCAGGAATTGAGCGCGAATCTCAGATGTCACTGCGGTGAGCCTCATGAGGCACAGTGGGGTCAAACTCCGGCATGAGGCATTCAGGCCAGCCAGCACTCAAAACTCCAGCACAATATCACAGCAGACAAGATGTGCACCCAGTCTGCCCTCTCTCATCACGAAATTCTACAAGCCCTTGACGCCACCCCGACATCAACAACACACGCACCTCCTCCTCCACGGCGAGCTGCTTCCGCTTGGCTTCCACCGCAGCGTCCTTCCCTGCCCCGGCACCGTACCCCGGCCTGGGCTTGGCACCAGCCGTTTTGGCCGTCGGGGCGGCAGACGGCCTCGACCCGACCCGGGACCCATTGGCGGTGGCTGATGAGGCGGGGGAAGGCGCGGGCGTCGCAGCGCTGGCAACGTCTGGGCTCCCAGCAGCAGGGTCCAGGTACCAGGTGGCCGGCTGGGGGCTGGGCTCGGCCCCGCCCGTGCGGCTGCTGGCCAGGACCCTCTGCAGCACCTCGGTGGGCATGATGCTGCCGTCCCGGGTCTCGCTGGAGAGGCGGCCTGCGATGATTTGCGCCGGTGGGACATACGTGACGAAGGGTGGAAACGGCATGGGTACCTCGGTGGGCTCATATGAGCTTGGGGCATGGACACCCCGCACCACCACCCAAGCACCCACACAATTCCCTTGCACCCCCCCTCCTCCTTCACCTGGCTGGGTGAAGTAGGTCCGAAGCTGAGAGGCGCTGAGCGCGTCATGGTCGGTGGCGTCCAGGGCGGGCCCCAGCGCGTGCAGCAGGGTCGGCAGCAACAAGGAGGGCGCTAGCGCGATCAGGGAGCGCAGCGCGCCCAGCGCGGCGCGGGGCTGTACGGGGTGGGCCTCTCCGGCGGCCTCGAACAGCGGCGCCAGGACCCGGTCGAGCGCGGCCTGGGCCGCGCCCGGCCTCTCCAGCAAACGCTGCAGCGCCGGGCGACCGCCCAGGGCGCGGGCCACTCCAGCCCAGACCGCCGCGCCGCCGCCACGCCGTGCGGCTGCTAGGGGGGCCGAGTGGCTCAGCAGCGCGCAGCGTGCCACGTCATCCGGCGTCGGGGCGGAGGGGAGCAGAGCGAAGAGGGCGTGCACATAGCGCGCGCCTAGGGCTTGCGGGCCTGGTCCGCTCGATTCAGGGTCGGCGTTGGGGGCCGGCGGGGAGGAAGCCACCGTCACGCTGCCGGGGGCATTGGCGTATCGCTGCAGGCTGGCGGCCAGTTGACCTGGAGGGGCAGGGGAGATGGGCTGGGTGGATGGGATAGGTTGTTATGGGAGCACGAGGGTGGTGCTCAGGTGCTGAGTCTGCAGCGGAGGCACCCAGGCCTGAGTGGGGAGGATGAGTCTCCACAGATTGCTGCTGGGTGTCAGACCGGAAAGAGGCTGGCCTTTCAAATTTTTGGTATAAGAGGTCCCATCCGCACAGCCGACCGTGGCGCTTTGCCATCCCCATTCCACCCAAGGTACACGCTTTCAGCAGCCCTCACCGGAGAGGGCGGGGGACAGGTCCTTGGCCAGACCAGCGGCGTCTGACGCGGCTTTCCGCGTGGCGGCGTCGTGGTGCAGCAGCAGGAGCACCAGGGTGTCGCACAGCAGCGGGACCACGTCCTGCGAGGCGGCCCTCCCCAGCAGGAGCTCCTGCCTTTCCAGCAGCAGGCCAGCGAGTTCTGCGGCGGCAGCGGCCGCGGCAGGTGGCAGCTTGGCCGCCGTCGCCGGCTGCAGCAGGGGGCTGCCCGCCTCCAGCAGGCCCGACTTCTGCAGAGCGGCCCGCGCGCCGGCGTCGACTGAGGCCAGGCGCGCCAGCGCCAGCGCCGCCAGGACCCCATCCTGGCGCAGGACGGCCTTGGCGGCGCCGTCGGCCACGACGCGGAGCAGGGCCGGCGCCAGGCCGGCGGCCGGGGGCACGCAGCGTGTGCAGCGCAGCGCGGTGACCAGCGCGACCAGGTGCGCGCGACGCGGCGCGTCGCGCTCGCTCAGCCCCGCCTCGAAGCGGGCGAGGAGGGCGGGGCCGAATGCGGCGGTGCCCGCCGCGGGCGCCCAGGCCCGGACCGCCTCCAGCAGGCCCAGCCTGCCGTCCTCGCTGGCCTCGCCGGCGTAGGCCGCCACGGCCTCGGCCATCACGCCAGCCGCCTCCGAGTCTTCGTCGCCGTCGGTCTCATTCGTGGCAAGAACTGCAAGATCCGCAAAGGATGGCGCCAGCAGCGCAGCGGCCTGCGCGAGGCAGGCGCGCTCCGGCACGCCCTTGATCTTGCCCTCCGCCGCGCCGGAGAAGAGGGCCAGCGCGGCGCGCGCTGCGGCCCCCCGCGCCGCGTCGTCGGCAGGCAGGCGGGTGCCCAGCGCGGCCAGGGCACGCAGCGCCGCGGCGCGTGTGCTTTCCTTCCCCGCCCGCGCCGCGCTGACCAGCTGGGGCAGGAGGGCGCCGAAGGCCGCCGAAGCACGGGCTGAGCCGGGCGCGAAGCCGGGGGCAAGCGCCGCCAGCGTGCCCAGCGTGGCGTCGGGCGCACGGCGCAGGGCTCTCTCGAACGCGGGGGCCAGGGTGCCTGGGAGGGAGTTGGGAGAAGAGGGGAGGGGTTGGTGCAAGGGTGATGGGTGGGTGGGTGGGACGCCCACCTCACTTCAAACCCAGGCTATCCACACAAACTGAACAAAGGCTCCAAAACACGGGCACGAAAACGTCATTAACAGCATGAGCAAGTCGTTCAACGACTTGAACACAAACCCTCCCTCCGTTTCACCCACCCGCCAGCTCTTTGGGGCCCCAGGCCCGGCTGGCGAGGCGCCAGGCCGCCATCGCCTCCGGGGTCGGGGCCTCGCGCGCTCCCAGGCCCCGCTCGCTGCAGAAGAGCCCCAGCGTGGCAGCGCCCGCGGTCCCCTGTTCCTCCTTTCCGGCCACGGCCAGCATGATGGCCGCGGCGAGGTGGGCGGAGCCGCCGGACCGCAGCACCTCCAAATAGGCGGGGAGGAGGGCCGGGGCGCGGCGCAGCGCCCTGCCCACGATCGCGGAGGCAGCTTCGCCCCTGCTTCCACGTGCCAGCTTGGCCAGGAGCGACGCCTGAGGGGGTTGGTGGGTGTGGGCGCGGAGAGCTTGGAGTGTGCCCAGCCATCGCGCTCTGGACTCCAGGCCCGGAGCGGACTTCCCCCTGCCTTCTACTCCGGACCCACCTCCTTTGCACTCATCACAATCTACCGTCGATCCCCACTCACCTGAAACTCCACCACCTTGGCGATCGCCTTGGCGCCGCTTTCCAGATCCAGGCTCGCGATCAACAGCCCGCTCCATTGCAGGAAGATGAGACTGGCCTGCGCAGGGCGAGGCGCAGCGAGACTGGGTGATGTTGGGATCACTGTATGCATGTAAATACAACGTCCTTGCGTATACCCAGCGGGCCAGACTCCATGTCCCCGGTATCGATCGACGGCGCCGCCTGCAAGTGCAGCAGAGACATCGACGACTGCAATTCCTCCTGTGGTGCCATGCCATCGGCTCCCCACATCACCTACCCTTGGAGCAAGCTTGGACGTGTCGCTGCGCAGCAGGGCGGCAGCAAAGGCTCGCCTGAACTTGGGGTTGCCAAGGGCGGTGGTGATGACAGGGGTGCTGCTGGCCTGGAGCCGCGGGCTGACCGCCAGGCGATCAGCTATGCCAAATACGAGGTCCACCAATGCCTCCTCTGAACCTGTACGAGGGTGGGGGGCTTTCGTGCTCCTTGTCCACGACTCCGGCACAGCGCTTCCCACACTGTGCACTTGGCACCCAGCCCTCGCCTCCACCCTTGTGGGGTCTCTGCAACGGATGTACAATATCGGATGGATCCAGACGTACCCTCCTTCTGGAGGAGGCCGGGAATGAGCCTGGTCCAGAGCGCCAATTGCTGGTTGGCATCTCGACTGAGCGCCGCGCGCCAGCACTCGTCCACGGACGAGTTGGACATCAGAGGCGATTCACTGGCCCGATCTATGCATGCTTTTCGAGGCTTTAGAAGCCTACTTTGATGTTGAGGGTTGTATGCAGTTGATATGGTCATTTCCAGGCCCACACTCTTGCTTGACGCTGTCGTCGACATCCTACTCCACCCGGCCAGGGTACTGGGACCGGTACTGAATCCCAGGATGGAGAGCCTGGGCGAGCCCGCCCTCCCCAGGCCCAGGAGTGGCAGGTGGAATGGATGTCCGCTGGTTTTGAAGAACAAAGCTGGAAAAGTGCTTGAGGGCTGCTGATCTGCGCATTGCACTCGCCAGAACTCTGCAAAAGTGCTGCGACTAGTAAGTGCACCTCCTTGCGACTACCACCATGAATCCCACTGTGGACGAGCTGGAGAAGAAGGAGGAAGAGCTGTTTCGGACGGGCCCCCTGTCAGTTCTCACCACTAGCGTGAAGACCAACTCCCAGGTAGCAAGGCTCGTAGGGCCGTGGCCTGTATCAGTGATGCTCACCTGGAACAGAGCCTCGCGGTGTGAGCAACCTGCTCATACCTCCCTCTCCACCCCATGGACAGGTGCTGATCAACTGCAGAAATAACCGCAAGCTCCTGGGACGCGTGAAGGCCTTCGACAGGCACTGCAACATGATTCTTGAGAATGTCAAGGAGTTCTGGACAGAGGTGAGCATCAGTGCGGGTCCAGGGAGGCAGATGTCGGATATAACAAGGCTATGTGCGGGGAATTCAAGGTCCCCCTCATCGCCATCGGGGTCCAGTGTGCGGGGTGGCCTTTGGGTCTCACACTTTCCGGCCGACACCCTGCGCCCAGGTACCAAAGAAGGGCAAGGGCTCTGCTGGCAGCAAGCCGATCAATAAGGACCGCTTCATCTCCAAGATGTTCCTGCGCGGCGACTCTGTCATCATGGTCCTTCGCAACCCCAAGTAGACCTCGTATGGTCGCTCCCCTCCCCTCCCTGCTCTCCGTTGCTGCTCATCCCTCCTCCGCTGCACATCTTTCGCTGTACCATTGCCTGCTCGCCAGACACTGCCGCTGCACGACGCAGGGTCCATGGGACGAGCCATGCAGGCACGGCTCCACAAGAGCAAGGCAGCAGCTGGCGCAGGCGTGTCAGCTCGAACACCGCCCTCTCAGGCCTGGGACTCAAGGGTGCACCCCATGCAGATCGAATGCCATGGCTTCTGGTGCCCGAGTGCTCCATGTGAGACACACCCACGGACTCCTGGCGTCACGCCGAGGGCAAGAGGTCCTCGAGGAAGGCAGCAAACTCGTCGGCGTCGCCCCCCGCGGGGTTCGAGTGGCCCCGCACCTCTGGCGCGGGGGCCCCCTGGGCCGCCACTTCCTGGGAAGACGGACCGGGCGACGCATCCCTCCCCCGCTCCTCCTCACGGCCACGCGCCACCCGGCCTTCGCCCTCCGGCCCCGCCCTGCGCCGCTTCCGCGCCCTGCCGGCGGCTGCCTCCGCCTCGCGCTGCTTGCGGTGGTTGAGCTGCAGGGCGTGCTTGGGGCACAGCCTCACCTTCACCAGCGCCACGCGGGACCGCCCCGCCTCACAGTACGCAAAGGGCACCTCGAACGAGGCCAGGCCACGCCGCTCCTCGCACCCCTGCGCAGCGGCCGACGAGCATGTGGTCTTGAGGGTGGTTGAAACGCCAGCACGGAGCAGGCGAGCCAGGCGACATGGCTCCAATGCTACCCACGGCACACATGTGCAGGCCCTTGCACGACACTGTGCAGGCCCGAGGAGGGCGCGGCGTCCAAAAACACCC